AAAGCATATGGATCAATTGAAAGATATAAAGTTAGATTGGTGGCGAAAGGGTATACACAGAGGTATGGGGTGGATTACCAGGAGACCTTTGCTCTAGTAGCCAAGATCAACATTATTAGAGTTCTACTGTCCCTAGTAGCAAATCTAGATTGGCCACTACATCAGTTCGATGTTAAAAATTCCTTCTTACATGGAGACTTGGAAGAAGAGGTATATATGGATTTACCACTCAGATGTAATTTAGCTCATGACAAGCAGAATCAAGTTTGCAAGCTTAGAAAGTCATTATATAGGCTAAAACAATCTCCTAGGGCATGGTTTAGAGATTTACTAAGTCCATGAAGAATTTTGGATATACTCAAAGTAATTTAGACCACATCCTTTTCTTAAAGCGTGATGGAGGAAAAATCATTGCATTAATTATTTATGTGGATGATATGGTCGTAACTGGGAACAACAAATGAGAGCAATAGAAGCTACAAAAGTATTTGTCTCATGAATTTGAGATGAAGGATTTAGGTGCTCCAAAATACTACATCGGAATAGAAGTAGCAAGGTCAAAAACTGGTATTTTCTGTCTCAAAGGAAATATATGATGGGTCTACTCACTAAAACATGAATGCTTGGATGTAAGTATGCTGACACACCTATTGAGATGAATCACAAGTTATGTAAAGACATGGACCGTTTGCCAACCAATAAGGAACAATACCAGCGCCTTGTTGGAAGGTTGATATACTTGGCACACACAAGACCAGATATTGCATATATTGTGAGTGTGGTTAGTCAGTTTATGCATTCACCCAATGTTTCTCATAGGAATGCAGTTGATCGGATATTAAGATACTTAAAGTCAGCCCATGGAAATGAATTAATGTTCTCAAAGAATGGAAATCTTGAAGTTGTTGGATATACAGATGATGATTAGGCTAGTTTCATTAGAGCATCCACAATGATGCTCTCTATTTCTTAGCTATAATTTAGCTAAAAATATAATAAAGTTATTTTAGGAGCTCTCTAAAAAATTTCAACTTCAACCATACTCCTTAATTTGGAGAGTCATAAATACTATAACTCTTTTTTGATTGGTCAATTTCTATTAAAAATAAAAATAAAAGTTAGCATTAAATAAATGTTTGAAATACTCATTAAATAAAACATCATTAAATTATAGGGAGTCACTAAGAGTCATTTCTCTCTCCTTAGATTTAGGAGCTCCTAGAGGACTCCCTATTTTAGGAGGTGGATATGGAGCTTGGTTGGAGTTGCATTTTTACGATTCCTCCCTAAAATTTGTCTAAGGAGGTGGTTTAGGGAGCCCATTGTGGATGCTCTTATAGATAGCCTCTCTACATCAGGTTACTATACATTCATTGGAGGTAACCTATCACTTGGTGAAGTGAAAAATAAAATGTAATTGCTCAGTCTAGTGCAGAAGAAGAGTATTTAGGTATGGCTCAAGGAGTTTGTGAATTATTATGGATCAGAGGACTCTTGACCAAATTGGGTTTTAAACCAGAGAAGCCAATGAAGTTACATTGTGATAATAAGTTAGCGATCGATATTGCTCATAATCTAGTTCAACATGATCGAACTAAATATGTTGAGGTGGATAGACATTTCATCAGAGAAAAAATTGAGAACAAGATCATGTGTCTACCTTTTGTAAAATTAGATCAATTAGCGGATGTCTTAACAAAAGCAGTCTGTGGATGAGTTTTTTATGACTCACTTACCAAGTCGAGAATTGATGACGTGTATGCACCAACTTGAGGAGGAATGTTGACGTGAGTTAACCTACTAAATCAAAGAGATTTATTTCCTAAGTTAATTAGGTGATTTACTTGTTTCATATGGCTGACACATCCTTGTATAATTAGGAGATATTCTCCTAATTAATTACTGTATCTATTTCCTTATAAAGCATCCTTGTAAACTCTTATATATGTCTTATTATGGAGAAAAATACAATTAACATACAGTATTCAAACCATATTCATATTTTAACAAGAAATCCCCCTCCCCTATAATTTAGACTATCACTTGTACTGAAAAAAAGTGTACCTAATTGTATTCAAATTGCAAAAATAATAAGTTATATATATGAAATCCTAAGCTTCTGCATTTAGAATCTACACATTTTCCCCACATTTCTTGCATTTCGTTTCTTCTTAGTTGTTTGTTATAATCCCTATCTAAACTTCATAAAAACAGGTTAAGTGAAATTGCACAAAAATAAAGTCATGATGTTGATCTCACGACATTTGTTTTGGTATTGTGTCCATTTATTTATTTTTTATTTGGTTCAAACTGTGTTTTTATTTTAGTAAGTGGTATTTTAGGTTTGCCATAATATGACAGCCTATGTATCTCAAATTTGCAATGTTCTTCCTTTTTATCTCATTATATATGCCAGCAGCCAGCTTGTGAATATTTTTGCTTGATGCCTATGGATCTCACATCTCTCCACCTGCTCTCCTAAGCATTTTAAGGCAACAGTTTAACATACCAGCTTTTCTTCTAATATTTCCAGTCACAATCATAAAATGGCTAGAAATATGAAAAACACCTAAAACAAAATAAAGTGCCACAATTTGGAGCTGGAGAGATTCCAGCAGAAAGTCAATAAATTTTCACTGATAGACCTTTCTTCATATTATATATAAACAATTATGTGTAACAGAGATCTCATGCGGCAATGAACCAAACTTTCCCTGCTTTCTGCCTTCTCATCTACTGCCAGAGAAGATTACAAATTTGAGACAAATGAATATATATATTTCTACGATAGGATCGTGGCAGACATTTTTGAAATATCAGGCACCGGCAGCAAGATTCAGAGGTTTTTACTCTCTTAAGATTTGGAAGGGCCAGCACCCATTGATAAGCTCCTTACTGCAATTCTGACTGCACCAACGGCACTAAGCTGCCTCATCTCAGGGCTTAGCCCATGTCCAACCTGGTTTTTACACCCTTCTTCCATCTGAACACCCACAAAGTATGCAATCTGAACAGCCATAAACATAGTAAGAGAAACAGAGTGACATATATAAAATAACCACAAGTTCTTTCTGGCCACTTAACATCAGATAGAGTCGAATGGAACTAAACTGATATCGTCACTTAGAGTACTAATTTTGATACTGAGGATTGAGGGATCATATGTCGAAGACTCTAAAGGGATCTACAGGTTATACAGAAGCGGAACAGCCACATTGCAACACGCCAAAATATCAAGAGGTTAAATTCTTCATTTAATGGAGAAAGATTAGAAATTGGTAAGCTGTAACAGTTCTGATATAGACACCAATGACTCCAGTTGTTTGTAACACGCATACTAATTGCCAATAGCTTATTCTGATTTTACACCAAGAACATATTGTGAGCTGAACATGATGACGGAAATTGGTTAAGTAATCAAATAAATGTGCCACGGAAATGTTTACAGCAGCAGTAAACTGAATCACTCAGAACAGAAATACTTGTGCAACACAAATTGCATAGTTATAACTCTGCCAACACTTCTCCCAAAGTTAATAATGTCTAGGCTAACATAAGCTTCTCATTTGTTCATAAAGTTTCATGCAAACATAGAAATCCACTGCAAGTGAATCCAAGCTAATCCTCCGTCAACCACATCCCACAGTCACAAGCCAAGCTATTATAGTAATTGGAAATAAACTTAAAGTCCAAAAACTTCAAATTTGCATATAAGAAAAACTTTATCTCCTGTTTGTTTAGACCAATAAACAAAGTTGACAAGAGCTTGATCCTTGACCAAAAAAAAAAGAGGTTGATGAGTTTAAAGCATATGCTGCTTTACTTTGCTCTTAATGAAGCCAAAGGCACATCAATTAGACAGCATACATGTCATTGACAAAAACAATTAACAATAAGAAAATTAAGATTCAACCAGACTCATGAAAGCTTAGCATATAAAATACCTTGCCAGAAGCATTACGAACAGGTGATATGTGTAGGAGATTCCAAAATGAACTCTTATCCTTCCTGAGAATGAAGCAGAAACAAAAGTCACAACAGATGAATAATGTGCAGTTCATGTAAAACATATTGAATAAGTAGTCAAGTAGCGACCTGTAATTCAAGATACGTACTGTGCATGCTTTTTCATTTTGAATGCTTTCCTTTATCTGGGGAAAAAAAGAGAAAAGATGGGATGGTACACTTAAGACTATCTATTCCATCAAGTCACCAAAGTACATGGCAAAAACCAATAATCATGACAGAAAAGGAAAAATACCCGATATATCATTGAGGAATCTGTATCCACCCCACTTAAAAATCTACAATTGCGCCCCAAGACTTCATGTCTAGCATAACCTATATAGGTAAACAACTGAGTTGAGTAACTGCATATGCTGGATTCTTGAAAAGATTTGCAAAGAACGTGAAGTCTAGAATGGTTTAGTATCCCTCTGGCAAATAGCATTGTGAATGTTACCAGTCAATTTGAAGAAGGCATCACTTGCATAAACTATAGGCATGTCTGGTAAGTGTGGATCAGTTCTACAAGGCAACACAATCATATCGAAGCAAACACAAAGTATAATCATCAGAAATCTTCAGAAAGTATGATACCTTCTGCAAAGTAAGAAAATGAGAATTTGCAACAACTCACAATACAAAGCTTTGTTTGATTCTACCAAGAGATATATTTAAGGATGAACTGGGAAGGCCCACCCCGGATAAGCTGCATCTCTTTCCACAGACCAATCTGCCCGTTAACTCGCTATAGTGAGTTAGCACGGACAATATGTTATTAATGGCAGTTGCAGCTCTTGTCTTCTCTACATCACTTGCCTCGCACGACTCTTCAAGCTCCAAACCTGTATGTTACATAGTAAATGAAAACTCAACCACAACCAATACTTGGTAACAAAATAAAAAATCAAAACCATAAAATCACATCAAAACAAAACTTGAACCGCAACCAACAGAGCTACAACACCTAAAAGGACAGATCAGATTGCTAACCGTAAATGAATGTGTGACAAGTAACTTCAAATCCACTATCAACATTCATAGATAACAGAAATCATTAATTAAGCAAGTAGCATAGTCAAATATTACTTGGAATAGAAAATTAAACGATGCCTCTATCATTACACAAGCAAAGTATATTGCATTAGTCATTTATAGAACCACAACGCAAACTGATAAAGAAACAAACCTCTGTCATCAGCATCATCCAATGCAGACTCCAGAGACTGAACACGACCCAATTCAACCAAAGAATCGGAGCACACTTCTTTTCTACAAGACCCATAAAAGATATCATTCATCCTAGACCCCTCTTCGCACAAATTAACCCCATTTCTGCCAGACCGCCTCGGCTTCCTCGAAATCGGAACCTGAACTCCCACAAAATGAGTCACCCTCCCATCTTCTTTGTTAAAAACAGGGCACATATGAAACAACATCCAAAAGGGTGTCCCGTCTTTGCGATAATTCAGCAAATTAATCTGAATAGCTCTCTCTTCCCTGATGGCCTCTCTTATTTCCATAACCGACCTTCTGCAAGTCCCCGGACCTTGAAACACTCTACCATTTCTGCCAATCACCTCGCTTTTCGAATAACCCAACATTTTCAAGAACCCTTTGCTCGCAAATACAATTGGGTGGCCAGAGAGACAAGGATCAGTGATTGTGAAACTGTCGGGCAATTCGCTCAGAGCTTCCTGGACCCAAAGCGAGTAACGGCTATTGAATGATTGCTCTATCAAACCCAACTCCGATTCCATCTTCCTTGTTCTTCAATCTCTTGTACAAAACCTTCGTCTCTCTCCGTGTTCGAGTTAGTCCCAATCCCATGTGGGCACCTAAGCGGGTGTTTGTGCCGCTTGCAGCTTCAAAATTCAAAGACAACCCAGTAAGAAGAAGAACCAGAGCACCCAGAAATTCGAGGAATTATAGCATACAGGTCTCGCCCATTGATTTATCAGAGACTCTTTTCGATAGATGAAATGTAAAAATGGCAGCTTTGATAAAAACAGAAGGGTAGTTTTACGTGAAAAGGCTTACATCTCTTGAGAGAAAGTCAGCTGATAGTGAACTACACACCCTATCCATCACGACTTGCAGATGAAAATTAAAAAATATCTGGTGCGGGTTGTGAACTTGTGATTTTCGAACGAACAATAATCGTTGAGAAACACCCATCAATCGTTTTTGGTTCATTAGTGTTGGTGGAAAATAAAATCTGCATTTTTCTGATGCAATATTGGACACAATAGACAAAAGGCCTGGTGCAGCTGTGCAGAGTCACAATAATTTTATTTTATTTTCGTATTATTTTTTCCTCATTTTATTTTTTAACTTTGGGATTGTTATAATTAATTTCTGTCTATTTATGGTTTACCATGAAAAGGACAAGAGTCAGTTAAGCTTAAGACCAACCACATGCATTGAGATCGAGATTGAGATTGAGGTTGAGATTGAGATTTGACGTACACCAACTTGGGATTTTATGTGTTTCAGTAACTTCACAATGAGTCACTTCATTAATGTGACACTATAGAGAAGAGCTTCTGAATTTAACAATTTGAGATCACTGCAACGAAAACCACAAAGAAAGTTCTAATTTTTTTGACAAATCTGAACTATTTTTGTTTTCTTTGGGTAAATGGATGGACGTGAGATAAAGTTAATGAATGAAATCACCTAGGATCCTTCCATAGTCATTGTTTGGCTTGGTGATTGTTTTGTGGCCATCCTCGCATCAGCTCTCACATACCACAAGAACACATCAATTAAGCCGCCTTTGGTTTGGCCCATAACGGAAATGAAATGGCTCTCATCTGCATGTGGACCCCAACCCAACCCCACTCCATTATTGATTTTATACATACAAGTTCAAAGATGTGTTCGTGATACTCGCCTATATATACGAGTGGCTTTCTATCTTCGATGGAAATTGGTTTCATTAACCAACGAGAGTCCCCCACGTACAAGTAATCATCCTATCTTCAAATGAGCTCGGGTCAGTGGATTTCCAATCATTGTCGACTGAAGTTGGTTCAAGAAAACCAAATGGATTAAGTTCGTAAACCGACAAAACTAATAACAAAACACAGCAAGGAACCGACTTTGATGATGTTTATCCAATCCACCCCATTTGGTGTCGTCCCTTCTAATTATATATGTGATGCTTTGCTTGACGTGGCATGTAACCACAAGCTGCCTTCTGTTTTTATGCCAAACCATAATGATAATATTATTAACTTAACCTAAAACTAATCGTATGCGTCCTCCCTCCTAATCACAAATCAGTAAAATAGTTTTGGAAAAACAACAGAAACATCAGGAAATGGATAACGTAATGCACCTCCCAATATCAGTGTCAGTCCAAGTGGCTACCTTTATTGTATCTTGTTTGTGCAGCAGCATACGACAGATCTCAAAATAAAATTACAAATTTATAAATAAACTCAATCCTAGACATGTATTTATAAAAAAACTCGACTATTTAAACATAGAAACACACCCAAAATCAACCCCAAAGTCAATTTTTTGGGTGTGTTTATAAATGAGTTTTGAGTGTGTGTAATAATGAGTTTTGGGTGTGTTTATAAAGGTGTTTTGGGTGTTGGGTTTTTTTATAATTTCAACCTTCATTTTTAGTGAAACTCCCAAATAAAATTTCATAAGTTCGCCCTCTTTATTTTGGTAACAAGATAAATACTTTCTCAAAACAAAAAAGTTTGGATATTCACAACAACATACAAATATTATCATCTTACAAAGCCCGAAGGTTGACATGAACAAGGGTTCCTTTATGTTGATTTTGTGATTACAGATTGGCTATATTATATAAACAAATTATTTTCCATGGGGCCTAATTTTACATTTCATCTTATTGGGTAAATTCACTTCACATAGTGGGGGAGCTAGGATTCTCGATGTGGAGACACCAACATTTGTTAATCACTTGTATTTAACTCTCTCATCTTCAATTGGGTAACGCTTAATTACATAAATTGTATTGTTATAGAATATGTTTTGTAAAAAATCAAAGTCACGACACGCCTTGTTGTGGCTCCGTCCTGTATTCACACCTAGAACCACACATAAAAAATAAATAAATAAAAAATTTACACTATACTCCTTGGTATATCCAAAAACACCAATTTATTTCTTAGGAACAAAATTATTATTATTATTTTTTATAAATTCCATCCATGGATGGGCTAGCCTTAAGATTTGGGCTCCGTCCTTTGTTGCGTTCTCTTCTGTTTTGGGCTTTATGAATTTGAAAGTTTCCGACCCAAAAAACAACTCTCTTTTCTTCTTTTCCAGCGACGGTTATGGTGGTAGTGAAATGCAACCCGAAGTTTACAATTAGAGCTCTCAGAGGCTCCCTTCTGAATTCTGATCGCACACCACCGAAGTATCAGAGTCTTGCGTCCTGCGGAGCTCACAATTGGGACTTTTCCGGTAGAGAAGAATCGGAATCGGACAATTAGGGCTTTCAGCTTTGAGACGTTTCTGGCTTGCGATCACATCTGAGGTTCAGAGGAGAGCTCGATCTCGGGTAAGTAGATTTGATTCTGACGAACAGCTAAATCAAATTTGGATTTTGAGCCTCAGCCAAATGTGATATTGGGACGCATTTGGTGTTCGATTATAGTGCCAGCGTTAGACCCAATTACTGTGGATTCGGCATTGGAAGGCCAAACTCAAAACCAATGCCAAATCGTTGGAAATAAAAAGCGCCTTGTAGATTTCGTGTGATATCTTTAGAGAATGCCTTTTATTTGCTTGTTTATCATAGATATGCCATGAGTGTGAGATTTATAGTGCTTTAACTGTTTGATCAAGTGCTCATTGTTGTAGTAGTGTGATAATGAAGCCTCTGGTTTGGATCCAGTGGCTGTTGATTGTAAATGTTGAAACTTGGTGTTTGAAAAAAGTGTTAGGAGGAGGTGATATAAATTTTTTAGTGCGGGGAGTTTCACTAGCCACTAGGCACTGCTGGTAATTTGAAGTTCTAAGTGATCTCTTAATGGGATTCAAACACCAGCTTCAACGACTGGGTTTGCATGTTCAAGTCAGATGTACATATATGCTTGCTTTAACATAACCCATGTTGTAATTGAATGACCACATTTATGGATTTTGCAGACACTTATTTTGGTGGGACAATGAATTTCCTTATGCGGTCAAGTCATGTTCAACGTGTGCCAGCAGAACAACCATCTGTTCCTGAACCACCTGCGGATGCTCACCCTACCCCAAAATCAGCAACAACATTGGAGGGTCTAATTGCTGAAGATTCATATCCACAATATTCCACAATCGACGATCATGTTGGAGAAAGTGAATATAGAGGTGAAAATGCCATTGGTGCAAATAATGAATCTTCTGTCATAGCAAAGCATTATGACGTATCTGATGAGGAGGGATGGATTGCCATTCCATACAGTAAGCGATTTCCATTACACTCAACATGTATGTTTTAATATTTTCATAATGTTTAGGATCGCATGCACACTTATAAGTGTGCACATAAACTGCTTTATAATACACACGCACATAGTTGATTAGGTGCCTATATTATATATTCAATACGTAAAATATATCATGGTCGTGATATAAGATTAGTATATCTAAAGCGTGTTTTGCTCTTGCAGAAGAACTCCCTGATAATTGGAATGATGCACCAGATATACATTCATTACGCTCTCTGGACCGCTCCTTTGTTTTCCCCGGTAGCTCTTTCTTGAATTTCCTGACTCTTTTTCTCCAAATGGAAGATGTATCCTTTATTTAGGACCTGAAATTTATTTTTAATCCAGGTGAACAAGTTCATATCCTTGCATGCTTGTCAGCTTGTAAGCAGGATACAGAAATTATTACTCCCTTTAAATTAGCTGCAGCCATGAGTAAAAATGGCATAAGACAAAGCCCAACGAAACAAAATGGAAATGCTGAAGAGGGTAATGGTGCATTGTTGAGAAAAGGAGAAATGAGTCCTGACAGTCAAGGTGCAGAACAAAATGGTGAAACCCTGTCAAAAGAGAAGACTGATCTACAAAAGGATGTTACTGATAGTGAATCCCTTCTTAGAATGGAGGATCACAAAAGACAGACTGAAATCTTATTGCAAAGATTTGAGAGGTCTCATTTTTTTGTTAGGATTGCAGAGTCAAGTGAGACACTTTGGTCAAAAAAAAGTGCTCCTAAGAAATCTTCAGTATCTCTTGGGATGGATGGTCAAGAGTCTAAGGAAAATGGAACCCAGAAAAATGCTGTAAATGTGTCTCGACTTAATGCTATTATTGATAAAGGAAATTTTGATCCCAAAGTCTCTGGTGGTGTAGCAAGAAATAATGTCAAGTGTTGCTCTCTTTCTAATGGAGACATAGTGGTATGTGTAATGAAGCTTCTAGGTTCTTCCTTGTATGCGTACATATGTGTTACTTATATTCTCATCTTATTTCCACGATTATTCTCTTTTTTGCTAAATGATGGGTACTAATAAACTCAAAGTTGTAGACTTCAGTTGTTCCAACCTAAAACGCAATGTTACGAATATGTATATTTGCGAGTCTCTGTGTGCGTGTGCTTATGCATCAATTTACGTGATAAGTGACAGAAAAAATATCAGTAGTTGTGCCTTTTATGTTAACCCCATTGACATGCACCTATAAATCTCAAGCTTTCTGCAAAGTTTTACTGGAGGAAAGCCCTGGCGGGTCTTAGTTTGTACCAAAATAAGCAAGAGTGTTGTAACTCTGATAACAATTTGCTGACCCTTAAGTTAATTTTCTGCTGCTGCTTTGTTTATTCTAGACCTTCCAATTTTAAATATCTTAGTTCTGAATTTTTTTTTCCTTCTCACATTCATGACTGGTTTAAGCAGTTGTTCAGATCACTGATTCTCATTCCATTTTCTTCTTTGGAAGGGTGCAGGTTCTTTTACAAGTGAATGTTGGTGTAGATTTTTTGAATGACCCTGTTATTGAGATTCTTCAGTTTGAGAAATCTCGTCAGGGAAGTTTGTCTTCTGAGACTCAGGAAAACTTAGTTGATGCAAATCAGGACCCATGTGGAGAATTGTTAAAATGGTTGCTTCCATTGGATAACACACTTCCGCCTCCAGCTCGCCCTTTATCTCCTCCTTTAATTTCCAATTCAGGAATGGGTAGCACATCTCAAAAGTCTGGTTCTCAACTCTTCTCCCATTTTAG